AGGTCAAGGCAGAAGAGGAAAAGCTGCTTGCTTTCTTCCTCGATAGGGCATTGGCGCGACGTGCCAGTTGTCAATATGTAGAATTCCTTGCTACTTATGCTGATTGTTGTGACTACGCGGTGGTTACGATACTTCTTCCCCCTCATCTTCTTTCTCTCACTCGCTTCTGGTCCCCTTTATCCTTCGTGCCCTAATGCGCCTCGTTTTTCCTTTTCTTCTGGTGTTGAGGTCCGCCATGTTCGCGCAGTTGCCTTCGCCCAGCTTCGGCTCTAACCCCAACAAGCAATGCAGCCGGAGAAAAAGCTTCGAGCCTGGAAACTCATATCAACACAAACATACGTGGATTATCTCCCGTCATTCAAATGTGTGGTCTGTCAAGTCTGCCGAAAAGGTTCTGAAGATGCTCGCTCCATACATACAGATAACGTCTCTATCGCGCGTTCGTTTCCGACTGAACCGGTGTGGCAAAAGAATATCGAGACAACCTCCTGATCTAGATACATCCCTCCTCAAAAGATTCATAGATCTAGTTAAAGGGATGGCTATATGAAGCCACACGCTCCCTCCCTGGACGTCACACACCAAGCAACTACTGGTTTCTCTCGTTCGACTAAGAAAGCAATCATGCACTCAACCCATGTTACAAGTGACGCAGCGAGTTCGGCCTCTGGGAACGGAGCAGCTTATCGGAAGCGTTCCAACGATCCACTACGCGACAAAACCCGGAACAAGAATAACGTACCCGCGTCCGATGACGGGGAAGCGCGAGACGAAGCCTGCGTGGCGGCAGGTATCCAGATGAGCCTGGAACCAGAGCAACAATCCACCCGAGCAACAAATGCTGCAGAAGAGGAGGAAGTGGTGAAGGAAGCCACGAGGCTCAGTGAGTTGGAAGCTGCAAAAGTTGCCAAAGAGTGCGAGACCGAAGATGCGGAGTTGACAAGGGCTCTTTTCCTCAGCTACCGGCAAGCGCATGATTCGTAGTAACGACGATGAAAGACCTTAAGGACACACAGCTACACAAAATCAAGGGAACGACTTGGGAACAGTGCCACTTCAACGGAAAGGAAGGGGTTCCATAGATCTTACCGTATGTACGCTTTTGATGGAAGGGGAAGTGCTGCCTCTACCTGACGGAGTAACGATGTCACTTTTTTGTCTGTCCCGACGGAGGGGGCCAAAGTAGAATGTCATATGGCCTGCAGTTTTGTTTTGAACTTAATGTACAGATACCACGCGTAGTCAATGCATTTCACGTCATATCATGAACTTCCTCCTCTTCTCTCCTTGGGCGTCCCTCGACAGGGACAGGGTCGTCCCGTCTTTGTCGACCCCTTTACTTGTCAGCCGCGTCTAGCGGCTTCTGTCCCTGCTGCTCTACAGCCTCCCTCTTCTCACTCTGCGACGCATCCGGGTCCGGCTTCATGGCCTCGTGTGCACCGGTGCTCTCCTCGCCGCCGTGCTGGCCAGACACGGCAGAGCCTTGCGAGTGTGGTTGTTGGATGGACGCGGTGTCTGGTGATCCTTCGCCTTGGGTTCCCGGGTGCTCAGCTCCGCGGGACTGGTTGATCTGCGAGGACTCTTGCGATGCGCTTTGCGGGTTGCCGGAGACGTTCCCAGAGGTGCCGGGGGAGCCTTGGCCGCCGGTTGGGTCCATGTTCTCTTTGGCGATGATGCGGGTTGCTGGGGAGTTGGGTTAGCGTTGTCGTCCTCTTTCAAGCAAAGGGAAGTGGCTGCTGCTAATGGCTGGAGAACGTACAGCTGAACGGACGAAGAGTACGCGCAGGAGTCAGCCTGGCGGCCTGGACGATGGATCTTCTGATGATGGCCATTGTGAGTGTTTGTTTGTGGACGTAGTGACTTGCGATATGTCTTCGAAGCTTGAAAGACTGAGTGTTGTTGTATGTAGTTGCTGTGAAGCGAGCTCTGCTCCTGGAGCTATATGGTTCATGCTGTATGATCTCATCATGACCGCTGATCTACAGAACCCTGGCGTGCACAACTTGTCCGGTTCTTGAACATAATACTCGAGTACATTTCATTCGGATCGAAAGCACATCAGTCTTCATCCATTGTGTGCTGCGAATCAAGCACGAGGCTGCATGTTGGTTGACGAAGCGGTGTCGCAGCAACTTTCATCCGCCATCACGGCCGCGAGTCGGAGGCCTTACACTGCCCTTATACCGCAGCAACGTGGCGCAGTAGAACTGCAGTCATGCTGCCTGCACCTCGTCGTCCGTGTGCGACGGCTCAATCCCATGGCCTGAAACTCTCCGTTAGTTGTCTCTCGTGAGGAACCCAAGGCTGGGTGGAATATCCTATTTTTGTAGCGCTGCAAGACACCGCCAATTTGCGGTCAGGTAGGCTTTTGTTGTATATGTTCCTCTCGCGGGCCCTGCAGTTTTGTACTCTTGTACTGTTTCTTTATCTCTTTTGTACTCTTCCGAACATCGATGGCTGACCGTTCGCAATACCTCTCGGTCCCACAAGTTCCTCGAGTCGAAAACATACCAGAGAGCCGAGAAAGACGAGAAGGTTAGATGAAGTGCAAACTATGGTTCTGTTCCGAACTTTCTGTTGACCTCCAGCAGGTGTTATTAATTTCTCACGAATGCGAGGGAGTCTCACTCCTCTGCAAACAGAGACTCGTTGTTCTACGAAGAGATCGAGGAGATTGGTGGCCTTCGCATGGGCAGAAACCTTGTGGATTGCTCGTCACAAAATCTGCAAGATGATTTTGCCGCTAAAGAAGCCAATATTCTGGAAACGAAACCCGGCGGCATGAAAACGCGCTTGATGAAAGACTGGAAAGCCCCTCAAAGATGATAGCCTTGCTTGTCGCTGGTCTTGTCCTCGCCATCGGGCACCATTACTACTATCGTTCTCTGGCCGGCAACATTGTGACCAATAGCTCGGACCAAGAGTGGAAGATTCGATTTGGTACGGCTTTCGCGTTTCTAGTAAAGGCGTGTTTTGCCGGTGCGGTTTTCCTGGCGTACACAGAACATGCTTGGACTAGCCTGAGTAACTCGAAGTACTCTGTTGGCGGATTGAATGCCATCTTCTCTGGACCAAGTGATCCTCTCAACTTCTTGAACACGGAGTTCTTGCTCCACGCTAAGATCGCTGCTGCACTCGCTGCTGTTGTTTGGTAGGTCTTATCAAGACAACTTACATTCAGCGGTCCCAGCAGTCAATTGAGCTGTTGACTATTACCGCTTGGCAGAAATAGCCCGCCCGCATGTTCTGAGATACAGGGTACTAAGACCTGGCGTGCGATAGCGGTTAGTCAGTTTGTTCGGTTGACCAATGGATACGCTGCTTACTTTACGCCGTGGATCTGACTAATAACTGCTTAGGACAATGCCTCTTTCCGCGCTTGTAACTCCGGCTACGCTGACCATCGTCCCGTCAAGCAATGTTACATCAAACGACAGGGCTCTGGTCCCAAGCATTGATTTCGACAAATCTGCGGTCTTCAGCGGCAACGGAACCAATTATGGAGTGGCACCTCTTTTGAGCCGTATCGCAGGACCAGCAATCACAGGAGCGACGATTTTACCAATGCGACCCGTGCATTCAAATAGCGCATATGATCTTACATTCCAAGGCCCGTCGCTGTATTGTCAAACAGCAGACAACGCAACCACTGCCTCAATAGACGAAGGCTTCGGTGTCCTGGCAACACGGGTTACACCTAACGATTATGTTCCAATCTATGTTGCGTTTAGCCCTGGAACTGATACCGTCGATGGAGACGACGGCACGACGTACGTCGCCAATGCCTCACAGACGGTGGCCGATTGCATTCTAGGATCGGATCCTCTATGCGCATACACAAGCAAGGCTGGAGATAATCCAATTTTTCTTCGCCTCGGAAAAGAGCGTCTTTTCTGCTCGCTGCAAGACACGACCTTCAACGCTCATTTCTCGGCGTCCGGAAACAATCAGTACGTCACGGAAACCAATTACACCTGGATCGGACCAGCGGCCAGTGGATCTTATACATCATACGCTCAAGCGTTGGTCAACATTCTCAACGGTGGTATAAGCGGTGGGAACCCTCTTCCGGGAAATGCAGCGCACGCAAACGATTCGAATGTCTTCATGACTCTCAAAACCAGAATCATGGAGACGGCGCTCGTGAGTCTCGTCGTAGACGCCATGACAGACACGCTCTCTCGGCAGCAATATGCAGACCAATTGTGGGATATCCCCACAATCACAGAAGCCGACCGAGCGCTCGCACAGAACAAATCGCTCGCGACACTCGTTGAGGAAATGTCGCGGAACGTCACGCTCAGCTTGTTCAGTGACAACCAGTACTGGCACGCCTACCCTTCTCCTCCCCTCCCGCGAGTCTTTACTAATCTCCATCCCAGGTCATCTCAACCCCAGACTTCAAACGTAACAACGACAACCCCGGTCAACAGATACGCTTACGCTTCGCGAAACCTGTTCTTGGCGTACGGAATCGCTTTCTTCACCACCCTCGTCTGTGTGCTGACCGGTCTTCGAGCTCTCTTCGTCAACGAAGGGAGCAGGGACATGACGTTCTCCACCATCATGACGGTGACGCGGAATCCGACGCTGGATGAATTGATACAAGAACAGAGTGCGAAGGACGTATCGGAAACTCAACTGAGGTTTGGCGCGTTGCAATCGAGGGACGAAGGAGGGGCAAGGAGAAAGCGGCATTTGGGATTCGGGTTGCCTACTGAGGTTATGGTGCAGAGGAAAGGAGAAGACTTCGTTATTGTTAATAGGAAGTAATTCTCAATGTAATTGCAATCTAACACTTGACCCGCGTTCCCAAGGTTGTAAGATATTAATTCGATCTTAGATGCGCGAACAGGAATGCCTTCCAGGTCAGAGCTGCTCCTGGTATTGTTGCTGGACGACAAAAGGCTGGGTCAACGCCCTATTAACGCTCGACATCGATTCACGGAGGCAGAAACGGAACAGTAATTGCTCCTGAGCAGATGCACAGCAAAAGGAGAGGGCCTGACCGTGGATCGAACACGGGGCCTCTTGCAACCGAGTATGTTGTACCCAAAGCGAGAATCATACCACTAGACCATCAGGCCGAATCGAAGACCAGATAACTCATCGACTTCCGCTTGTTGTGAGCCGTTTTTGGTTGATTTTATTGTATACCCTCTTTGCAAGTGGGCAAGCTGAAAGTGGGCTGGGCATCATCCAACTGGTGGAGCGTGTCACCATCTCCAGTCTTACAGCGAGAGCGTCAAGTTGTAGGGAAGGTTCAAATTGCATGGCTCAGATGTCGTAGAGGATCAGGGTTGTAGCCCCATGTGTCGATATTGGGTTGGATCTGTCCTGGACAGTCGGACGTGATGTTCTCTCTTGTTGCGGATGAGTCGAGGATTGCCAGAAATTAGAGGACCGACCGTCGAGCGGTGTATGTACTTTCGTTCGTGTTGCAGGTGTGACCGTTCGGACGCTTGAAGTGTTGGAGCGTTTCTGTTGTATTCCGAGTATGTAGGGTCACACGTTTCGGCGGTAATGGGCATGGAAAGGTGATCAAATGTTGCACCACTGATTCGTCGGACACGGTTCGGTTGAAGTCCACCCAAGCCAGACTGTTGGAGAAAGCTTGGCAGCTGGATGACCTGCGGTGGAGATGGCCTGTGGATGGACGACAAATTGCCCTCCGTCGCTTCCAGTACCGAACGATATGCGCCGATAAACAACAACCCTTCCTGGGAGTCAGTTGGTCGAGAGATTCAGGCCACAAAAGGGGTTTTATCGAGAAAGAGTGGACATGGATATCGCGCCTGTGTCTTCCAACAAGCAGCCAACGACCCTACTGGACGAGCTCGCTTGCATAACCCAAGGAAGCCGCAGTCTAGATGTCTAGATGTTGACACAGTAGGCAGCATCTCAATGCTCTGGCTGACACGTTCCAGCACTAACTATTTCTCCTGAGCAAGTCGTTAACCACGCACTGCTCTCTGGATGCTGGCAGATAACCCGTACCTTTACCATCTTCGAGTATCGACAGCGGCGCTCAATGCTCATCCAGGAGTTGTTCGGAAGTACAGACCAGTATCCTTCCGAAAACAACTTCCGGCATAGTCTTTTAAACTGGTCCCAGCTAGGAACTGCTCGCGATGTGACCATTCAAACCAGGACGCGGTTCTCTATGTCTACTCTCCGCTATCTGCGATAGGCCTGACCTAGTATCCCCAGTTTATGGCAACGGAGGTCTAATGCCAAGACTTTCCGGAGACGGATTGGCAATCATTCGATGAATCCATCCAACGAGCGACATAAGTTTTTCTGCACTCTTGGAACGGAGCGGCTCTTCTGCTGATCGCGGCCAAACGGAGTGTATCATCTTACTATCTCCAGAACCGCCTCTCCTGCATGCAGGGGTCTTTCCAGGGTGATGGAGTTCCGGGCCTTTCAGTCACGAAACGCTGAGCCGAGAACCAATGGAAAGCCGATCGACACTTGCTGCCGCCCCCACAACTGAATTTTCGTACTCGATCCAACACCGAAGGCTGCTGTGATCCACTGCTTGCGTAACATAACGCTAATTATACACTATAATCGTATCCCTCTCCCATGAACCCAAGTCTCGCCGTGGTCCACCACAGTGACATCCAATTGAGCCGCCGGGCTAGCTCAATCGGTAGAGCGTGAGACTCTTATCATCAACGCATGAATCAGAGATTCATCTGAAGGTTGCGGGTTCGACCCCCGCGTTGGGCTATTCCTAAACATCATACCATGGAACTGATCATTCCTAACCACTTTTTTGCCTGGGTCAAGGCTAAGGAATGATACGCAAACATTTTGTACTAACCGAACTCGATCGACTACATTATCTACCTGCATTTCTGTCTAGCTTTAACAGCATGAGAACAGTTGGGTCACTCCTAGGTTACACAACCGATCTAATCAATCCTACACTCCAAATCTTTCTTTCTGGCGTCGCCGCAGATAAGTCCCGGATCCTCTCACTCATCCATAGCACTCACATCGGGACTGAGACTCAGATAGTGGCATCTACATGCCGTACTGCGTGTCCGGGCTCTACTTGGGCTGTTCCTACGCTGCGTAACGAGGTCCTGATCAGTCTTCCAACTCCTTTTTCCCCTCTCCATCCATCCCGGAACTACATCAACTATGCTTCACGCTTGGTCTCACGAACTCTCACGGGCATTTCTCGAGCATTGAAACGGACCTGATCAGTCCTGAGATCCGCTCTCTCCTTTTTCCTCGCTAACCTGGCTCTACCCACGCCCTTGCCTTGGGCTATTCTCGAGCATCTGTTAAGGACTTGACCAGTTCCTCCCCTTCTTTTCGCTTTTCCTTCCAAGAGTCACTACACCAAATGAGCTCTGCAATTCAATAACCGATCTTTTTCCTTGCCCGTAGCCTCATCGGCCAAGACCACTGAAGGCAGTCTTCCCTAGGAATCTCGCCCAAACTCAATCTGTTGGCTTCGTATTCTCTCCTTCATTGACCAGCGAAGCTGATGCCCACAACAAAGACTGGACACCATGAACCTGGCTCGGCCTTTTCAGACTCGGTCAGACAGGGAGTGGAGTCATGCTCAACATTGCGTGTTCGGCCAGGCCTGCGGCGTTGCGCTCAAGCGCACTGTCACGCAAAGGAAAACCGTTTTTCGGTCACGTTGGGTCGCACTGCTACGTGCGCTAGCTGGTTCGAGTCGCATGGCGGCAATATGGGCTGACGGCCCGGCGTTGGAGACAGTGAATCGAAGTTCCAGTTGTTTGTGAGGTCCGCATGCGATCTGGTCTGGTTAAGGAAAGCTTTGGAGCTGCTTGCGTCACCGAAACAGATGGTATGGTCTCCGGAGATGATGGAGACGGTCTCTTGGTAGATTCGTTGGCAGACTCTTGCGATACCCGGACGACTGGCAGTTTTGACGTGAAAGAGCCTCGTGTGCTGTTGTTCCAAGGGAGTGTTGCTGCGTTGCTCGGGTGTACGGATAGTAGAGGACCGGAGTTGCATGCATGGTGAATTGCGCAACACTGGAGCCCCCATTGTTGACTGTCTGTCCGTCTCCTCTGCAATTCTGATTCCATCTCGTTTTCTCGAAGGCAGAAGCTTGTAGACCATTGTTTTGATCTCCGGCGGCAAACCAAGGAACCGGAAAAGTCGCGGCGGGGCTTGAGCCATGTCGTCAAAGGACGATGAGGACCGAGTGCTGCCCGTATTGACAGACAGGTGGATGGGTATGCCCGGCAGGCTGCTGATGCTGGGCCTCTGTCAAGTTTCGGGAAAGCAAAAATGTCTCCCCTGGCAGAAGGGACATAAATGCCTGCCCGACCCGAGCAGGCGAAGCAAACGACGCAAGAGACGAAGATGAAACAAGAAACATTGAAGCCCCAAACGCTTCCTTGAGTGCTCATAGACAACACGCCAGCTCCCCAACGCTTTGCTCGTGAGTTCCTAGAAATATGCTGAGTGGATACCTTCCCTTACCAAACCATTCCCCCCCAAAAAAATCCTATGCAAATCCGGGTATCGAAGACTCTTGTTATCACATCATTCGTCAGAACCAATCGCCCCAGTCAAACCCACCGCCACCGCCACCGCCTCCTCCGCCTCCGCCTCCTCCTCCTCCACCGCCATCACCAAAGCCACCCCCACTCTGACCACCGGCGTCACCTCCCCTCCTCTACCACCACTCCACCAATCATCCTCTTCACCCCAGGTAGGTTCCTGCTCCTGCATGTCCTGCTGACCCTGCTCTCCATACTGTCCAGCACCGAACGGCTCACTGTTCGTCGGACTTGCATCGTCTTGCGCGCCCCTCTGTCCATAAGCGCCCCGCTGCATGGCTTCGTAGCCGGCCATGGAACCCGCGCCCGCAATCGCGCCCTCGCCGGCACCTATCGTTCCACGCGCCGCATTTCCTACCGCGCCCGCGCCCTCCGCAGCACCCACCGCGCCGGCTTCACCCGCCGCTCCCGCCGCGCCAGCGGCTTCCCCGGCCCCAGCGGCTCCTCCGACAGCGCCACCCGCCGCTCCGCCCTCGGCGGCTCCACCTCCCATGCCCGGGAACCACAGTGGGAAGAAGCCACCAGCGCCGGCGCCGGCACCGGAATGTCTCGAGAAGTAATCGAAATCGACACTGACGGCGGTAGCAAGCATGACGGCCCTCTGATCCAGCGTCAACGCGGTCTCTCGCTCCGTAATCTCGGCGACCTGGCCCTGCGTCTGCCTCTCCAAGTCCAGTCTTTCTTGGGGATCGAGGCTGGCGGAGTCCATGCGCAGAGCGTACACGCCCGTGTCGGTGAAGATCTCGCGCGCGAAGCCCGCGAAGTTGCGGTTCACGGAGCCGATGGTGTTGCCGTCTGCATCTCGGAGGGTGAAGTCCCAGGATAGGAAGGGCTCGTTGATGTGTGCAAATTGTGACATTCCGGCCTCGATGGCGCGCTCTTGCTGTCCGTCGGTGACTGCTAGCGCCTTGCTCTCAGTGTTGGGGGCGTCGCCTGAGGTGAGTTTGGGGATGTTGGGGTCGTCGGAAGCGGGGTCGAGGGGACGGTAGCTGAAGAGGTTGTACTTCCGCCGCAGGGGTGCCCATTGTTGTTGTGCTTCGCCAATGATGCGCATTTCGGAGAGGGGAAGGGTGGAGATTGAGGCGGCGGATTGAGAGACGGCGGAGGGTACCGAGGTTCCTTGGAGGTCGGTGGTTTGGGCGAATTCGGACGGAGACGTTAGAGGATCGTAGATTCGTATACGTGAGGAGATCCAGGAGAACGGACGGTGTATCTATGAAGACGGAAGTCAGTAAGTGTGGTATGGTTGCAGCTTTGCATGGCGGAAACGCACGCGAAGAACCTCGCGTTCACTCCTGTCGAATACGTGTGCGGTAAAGCTGCGGTGTGTTCTGAATGCCTGTCTGGCCAAGGCCCTCCCTATTCCGTGATCCTGCTCTGCCAGATATCCTATTGTCTCTCCCCGTCCGTTCATGATGACGTACTTGTTGGCCTGTTCGAAGCCGAGGAAAACGTTCATCATCTCCAGTTGTCGTTGTATGACGAGAGAGCTGTTGTTGAGCAAGTGCCATGCTGGATGGTCTGGTCTG